GCAAGTGTTTTGTTCTTAACACTAAAGATAAACTGGGAAAATTTGATGCCAAGTTTGATGAGTCGATATTCTTAGGGTATTCTACCCACAGTAGAGCCTATAGGGTGTACAACAAAAGGACCCTCAAGGTTGAGGAGTCCATCAATGTTATATTTGATGAATCTTCCAGTGAGTGTGCAGATAGTCTGGATGAGTCTGAAGATTTTGGACTTGGTAGAGTAATAACCACAGAAGTCACAAAAGAAACCATGACTGATGGTAATAAGATGAACGACAAATCAGAAGATTCTGCAAATGAGAATGAGCCTCAAGTACCACCTCACATCAGAAAACGTCATCCATCTTCCCTCATTATTGGAAATCCAGAAGAAGGTATTGTTACTCGATTTAAGTCCTCTGATGTGAATTCTGCCTTTGTGTCATTGATTGAACCAAAGAATGTGATGGAAGCTCTAGCTGATGAATACTGGAGTGAATCAATGCATGAAGAAATGAATCAATTTAAAAGAAATAACGTGTGGGAACTTGTTCCTAGACCTGAAAATAGAGCTATAATTGGGACAAAATGGATTTGGAGAAATAAATCTGATGAAGTAGGAACTGTAACTTAAAACAAGTCCAGGCTAGTTGCTCAAGGCTATAGTCAAGAAGAAGGAATAGACTTCGATGAAACCTTTGCACCAGTAGCAAGATTAGAGGCTATAAGATTGTTGTGTGCTTTTGCTGCATCTAAAGGTTTTAAACTCTTCCAAATGGATGTAAAAAGTGCTTTTCTAAAAGAAGATATAAATGAAGAAGTATATGAGTCTCAACTCCCTGGTTTTGAAGATTATGAATTCCCAGAGCATGTATACAAACTTAACAAGGCTTTATATGGACTTAAGCAAGCTCCTAGAGCTTGGTATGATAAGTTAAGTACATTTATGCTCGGAAAGGGGTTTCGTAGAGGAGCAGTTGACAAAACTTTGTTCATTAAAACTGAAAATACTCACACCTTGTTAGTACAGGTATATGTCGATGACATTATCTTTGGGTCATCCAGTAGTGCTCTATGCAAATAATTTGAATAAGACATGAAAGGAGCTTTTGAAATGAGTCTCATGGGAGAACTCAACTTCTTCCTAGGACTGCAATTTAAACAATTAAAAAGGGGGATCTTCATTAGTCAAACTAAATATCTTCTAAACATGCTTAAAAAATTTAAACTTAATAATCTCAAAGCTGCTGTCACTCCTATGGGATCAACTGTCAAATTAACAAAAGATGAAATCGGACTTTCTGTAGATGACAGAATGTATCGAGGTATGATTGGGTCACTACTGTACTTGACAGCTAGTAGACCAGATATTATGTTTAGTGTGTGTGTATGTGCAAGATTTCAAAGTTTCCCTAAAGTAAGTCATCTGACTGTTGTAAAAAGGATTTCCAGATATCCGATTTGCACCCCTCACCTCGGATTATGGTATTCTTGTGATGCTAGTCTAGAGTTAATCAGTTATAGTGATTCAGACTATGCTGGTTGCGTTGTTGATAGGAAAAGTACATCTGGTACTTGTCATTTCCTAGGGACTTCTTTGATTTCTTAGGGTAGTAAAAAACAAAGCTCAGTAGCACTATCCACTGCCGAGGCAGGGTATATTGCTGCTGGACTAAGTTGTACTCAGTTACTATGGCTTAAATACCAAATTCAGGATTATGGGGTAGATATAGGCTCATTACCAGTATTGTGTGATAATACAAGTGCTATTAACATGGCTAAAAATCTGATTCAACACTCTCGTACAAAGCACATTGAAGTAAGATTTCACTTCATTCGTGACCTAGTGCAGGAAGGCAAAATCTCTCTTGAGTTCATTAGCATTGACATGCAATGACCTGATATTTTCACTAAACCCCTAGGGAGCAGAAAAATTTCTTCCCATTCGTTAGGAACTTGGCTTATTTACCTTGTCTGACATTGAATCCTTGGGATCTCAAGAATATAAACTTGCCTTCCCTAAGGAACATTAAATCTCTTGTCAAATCTCATCTTTCCTCATTTCTTCTTCTCGAATATTCGCTAGGGTCAATCTTTTCTTATATATAGATGAGCTTCTAGGGTTCTGTCAAATATCCATCTTCAGCCATCTCTACAAATCTCACTCCAACCGTCGTTCAAATGGCTTTCAACAATGCTCAGTTGCATCCTGTAGCTGTGTTTAACAACAAAGGTTTTCGAAATGCTACCACCTACTCCAGATACCTTCGCAGGTTCCGCGATCGTCCCATCTATCCTTCCTTTTCCATTCAACCCTCTAGGTTTTCCAAATATGACATGGATATCCCATCACTTCTCGATGGCCTCGGCTGGAGCTCGTTGGTTAACAACATGCGCTTCAGTCACTGTCCCGACGCAGTCAGATTGTTCTTTGTCAATCTCAAGTGTGGTCCTGGGTGTGATCCATCCTTCTTCACTACATATGCCTTTAACTATGAGATCATGGTTACTCCCACCCTCCTCGCAGCCTTGCTCAATTGTCCGCACTCTGGACTTCAGGCGGGCACAGATAGTGAGTTTGCTGCTCATGGATTTGATCTACTTGGTTCTTTGTCCCAACACACTCGTGACATAAGGCAGCTCTTTCCCTCACCACTCGCAGCTAGTCGTCTCCCAGATGACCTAAAGGTGTTACATTTCTTTATCACTAGGTGATTCCTACCTCGTGATCTGTCCACCACTGATATTCTTCACTCCACTGATATCTGGATCATTTCAAATACCAAAACCGGTTGTACAATCAACTATGCGTCTCTCATGTTTCAACACATGATTAAGTTTTAGGAGGTAAGCAAGCTGGCAAGGATACAATTGGAAAATGAAACAGCCGAAAACTCTATCAGCAAGAAAGCAGTCTTGGGGGTGTGGCTATGCTTGGGAAATAAGTGATTGTGGGTGTGGTTGAGCACAACACTAGAGCAACATCACTTTGGCGGCAGCCTACAGAACCACCAAGCAAGTTTAAGTTTGAAGATGTCACTACTTCCTCTTTGGATTTTTGCTCTGAAAGCCTTGAGTTCTGCAATTTTGAAACACTGGGACAACGTGCAGGGTCTAGAGGAACCATTAACGGGCCTTTAATTCCTGCACTCAGTGCTGACTATCTATTTGCTCATGGAACTATTAATGGGGAAGATTTGTTTTATATTTGTTTTCCTTTAATCTTTGTATTCAATATTGACTATTTGCTCAAAACTAGATGTTATTGGCTGGCTACTTGCAATGGAGACACCACTAAGCAAACATTAACACTATTAAACGAAAGGTAATCTAATTCAGTTAGTTATTTGAACCTTTACAATATAAAATTAGCCTACCTACAACCTTAGAGCAAAGGAATTTGTATATGCTACTCAAACCTCCACTGTCATTGTTGCCATAAGAGGCCTAATGGTTTCGTCTATTCAAGGTAACACATTAAACTTCACTTCAGATTAATTTTACTTTAACAAGAGTTGTTAAGATATTTTAACACCTGCATATCTGAAACTGCAAAATTGAGACTTATATGGTTTAAATTGGTTGTGTTATACTGATTCAACCACTAATAATCGTTTATGGTTATTAAGTTCATAGATGGAATCAGAGATAATATAGAATATTAGTGTGAACAACTTTATGGAGTTTGTGATACTACTTTCATTGTTCTAAGAATTCATGAACATTATAAATTAGGGTTAATAGCATTTTGTACCCCTCTACTTTGGTAAATTAACAAACGTACCCTCTACTAAATTTTTGCACAAACATACCCTTCTAATATTAAATCGTAACAAGTTTACCCTTCCATCTAATTATCCGTTAAATGACAGTTAAATAGGCTGAGAAATGACCCAATTGACCCTCATTTAGTCCTAATTTCAATTTCAATTATTTTATTATTTATGTCCAAGAGATCCATTAATTAGAAAACGAAAACCCTAAACTAAGTGTCACTGGGCCTGCTTCATCGCCGCCGGCTCCCTCTGCTTCCTCCCAAAAGAAGCAAAAATCCAAACCCGCCGCCACCGCCGCTGTTTCTTCCACCACCGCCATTGACGTCGTCTCCGCCCAGCTGGCCGCAGCTAAGTTGGGCTCGGCCTCGGATTGTATCGGCTGCGCGACAAATAATAAAGGCAAGAGCCGGTGCAACAAGAAGGTCGGCCTGCCGGGATTCTCCTGTCAATGCGGTGGCATGTTCTGTGGGTCCCACCGGTACGACGAAGAACACGGGTGCTGCTTCGACGTTAAGGGAATGGCGCGCGAGATTTTGGTCAAGCAGAACCCGCTCTGTAAGGGCGATAAATTGGAATTCGGGATTTGAATCACACACGATTTGTTGTAGGCGGTGGTTTCGAGGTTTTTGGAGCTGGAGAAGTCGGGGATGATGTGGTGGCTGCTTCAGTTCGGTGCGTTTAAGGAGAGGTTGCTGGCGGATGATTTGTTCTTGGCGGCGGAGGAGCAGAGGAAGCCGGCGACGAGGAAGGAGGCGCTAGGGGAGACTTAGTTTAGGGTTTTTTTAATTAATTGATCTCTTAGACATAAATAATAAAATAATAAAAACTGAAATTAGGACTAAATGAGGGGAAATTGAGTAATTTCTCAGTCTATTTAACGGTCACTTAACGGATAATTAGATGGAAGGGTAAAGTTGTTACGATTTAATATTAGAAGAGTATGTTTGTGCAAAAATTTAGTAGAGGGGTACGTTTGTTAATTTACCAAAATAGAGGAGTATAAAATGTTATTAACCCTATAAATTTTAGGGTTAATACCTTAGTTTGGCCCGAAGTTTAGCGTAAGTGACAGTTCTAGCCCCATTTTCCAAATAAGACATTTATGGCCTACTTTTGAAACTATTGGACAGATTTGACCCGAAATTTGTGTTGACTTTTAATATTAACGGTCAAACATTTATTCCGTCAATGACTCAGCATCTAATGCTAAAGTAGCAGTGATGTGTCATGCCACGTCATTAAAAAAATATTAATTTATATTTTAATTCAGTTAACATTAAAAATTAAAAAATCCCCTCCTATTATCCAAAATCCCCAAACCCCAAATCAAAACCCTAATCTAAATCAATGGATCGTTTGGTCAATATTGAAGATGATATTGATGGGCGACTCGGGAGGACAGTGCCGCCTCAATCCCTTCCGCCAGCAAGATGATAATCGACATATGAATCCTCTCCTTCCAATACAGACTAATCCCTTCGAAAACCTTCCTAGCATCCGTCGACGGGACTCCGTTCACCACAAGGTCGGCATCCCAAACCGCCTTCGTCACCACTTTCATCGGGCACAACCAGGCAGAACACATTTATCAAGATCTCGTCGGCATACAGAGTCCGGGGGGCCTCGACGTACTTGAGGTAGGCGCAACGCCGGATCAGCCGCCGGAGGACATCTTCCCAGGAATTGATCACCTCGAAGAGATGCTCCGCCGTGGACCAGTCAACCGCCCGACGCCATATCCGGATCTGGATCTTGTTGCGAAACTGACGATAGCTGTCTTGTAAAAGGGCGGCGAACACGCTCCCGTGGCATCGACGCCGACGATTCTGAGCGAGTCGCCGTTGGCTTTGCTCAGTGGAGTACCCATTATCAGGGCTCTCCATCGTTTCAATGCTTCCCACCATTTCCGTTCCTTCCTTGATTCTCCCCTTTCTTCTTTCAATCGCAATCACAAATTGGGTTTGTTCTAGAAATCAAAAGCAAAAACAACCCAGAATCAGAAACTTTGTACGGGTTTCCCTCTTTTGACAATTGGAAGTGGGGAAAATGATGGGAAGGGGAATTCCAATGGAGATTTACAGGAAGTGACAAAGAAAGGTGGAATTGAATCATGGATGACGGTGGAGAGACCCGTGCAGAAGGAGCAAGGCCTTGAATGACGGCGGAGATTAAGTCTAATAATATATGGACGGTGATCCGCGTGGCTGCATGGTACTTATTGTAGACCTATTCATTTCCCATTGAACCCTTTATACCAATTAGGCGCTATTTATATAATAATAATATTTAAAAGCTCTTAAGCCCTTTTAATCTAATCCAGGTTTCCACTCTCCCATCTCACCCTTTAACTTTGAACCATTGTCCAACCAATACCATTGGTCATTCTTCCTTTCTATTTCGTGATCCTTTCTTTTTCCAGCACCTTAGTTAGGAGAAATTATTACCAAACGAGACTCAAATACTATTGGCCATTCTTCTACAATACTAACCCTTGGTAATTACCAAACGAGACTCCATACAAATATGGAAACTGGGACTGACGAGAGTCACAGCTGCGGCTGTGACATGGGATGGGCGACCGTGACTTCGGAGTGGCGAGACAATGATTCGTGCAAACCTCTCTGTATGTTAAGTCGCAGCCGAGAATGATGAGTTGTGGCTGTGAACGTGACATTCTCTGGCTGGCCGTGGCTTTGGCTACTGCTGCTGTAGCTACGACGTGTTGACTCTTGTTGCATTGACTGTATCTGGTCGGAGATGTATCTTGGTCCAATACCAATCCCGGACTAGAAAGAAGTAGAAGGAGAAGAGGGGGAGTTCCGAGTTGGCAACAAGATCTTCATCGTCAACGGAACTGTCGTCCTCGACCAGGTTCCTAACCAGCCTGTAATTGTGGTGCCTAATCAGCAATGAAAAAGCCAGTTGCCCTTAATCTTGGTTTATAATCGTCCATGAAAATCAGTCTAGAATGCTTCTACAAGTGCGTTGATTTTTGTATAATTCAATAATTGTTACTCGGTTGGGATTTTCTCTTTGGAATACCTTTTTCTTTCTTCCTTCCATAATTTTCATAGTTATTAGCCTTGATTAGCTACAATACTGCGGTTCTATATGTTCTCTTCTAGAAAAATTATTCAAGTGTGGTTAATGTTTTCTTCTTCTTCATTTTCTGTCTCACTAACTTATGTCTTTGCTTCATTTTTGTATGCAGCAATTGCCATTGACTTTAGCTGGATACTTAAGCGGAGATGATACTTACCCCCTCTTTTTCAGAGGGCAAGAAATCCGTCCCAAACAACATTGACCCAAGCTGGACGTGCTCTCCTCTCGTAAGTATCTCGTCCCTTTTATATGGTTGTATATGTTTAAGAAGATACATGGAAAAGGAAACGTACCATTGGAATTCCCAATCAAACTAAATCTTTATTTTTTTCAATTCTGTGTACGAGTGCCTGTTAGTTGAATCTATTATGTGTCGAGTACTTCATCATTCCATTCTCTATTCTAGGTATTTATTCGCTGAAGTTAGAAGCCTTCACCAAAATGTTGTGCCTAAAACACATGGTTCGATTGATAAGAATCTGTTTTCCGGCGAGAAAACTCTTGTTGAATTGAGATGGATTGCACCTTTGACTTCTATGGACAACGATTTCTAAGACACGGCTCACACCTCTTCAAACAAAGTTCGAACAAGGGTGTTAGATTGATGGTTTTTGGGAACAAGATCTAAATTAAATGACTTCTACTCCTATGGAGGTTCAATGAGAGCTCCAAACTACGAACTACATCTATGGCTACATGATAGAGAAAGGGTAAAGGATAAACTTGACATGTGTGGCAGAGTGTTGGTTTTGGAACCCCTGCCTCTGTCGACCCCTCCTCTTATTTATAGCCCCGAGGAGGTAACCGCCATAGAAAACCGCTTGTTGGATAACTGCTACAAAGAATCGCTCCTCCTTCTTCCGTAGAAAACCGCCTCTTGGATAACTCCCAAAAAGAACCGCTCCTGCTTCCTCGGAGTGGTGGTTATTCCTTCAACCTCCTAGGTGCCTCTCTTGGAACCGTCGTGGGTTTGGAGTGTAGCTTGCCTCGCCTGGTCTTGTTCTGAATCTCGTGCCATGCTAGTCTTTTGACGAGCATGTAGTGTCTCGCAAAGGGGGCCATGGTTCTTCTGTCTCATGGCCATGGACTTCTTACCCATGTCCATGGCCCACTTGGGACTTAGTCATTATTGATATAGTGCTCCACCACCACGCCCTTCTCATTCGTGTCCATGGCCACTCTTGTGACGCGGCCATGGACCTCTTAATCATGCACATGACCCTTCTCGTGAGGCGGCATGACCTTCTCAGACTTAGCATATTTTGGATCATGAGGCGACATGGCCTCCTACCTCGTGATCTGTCCACCACTGATATTCTTCACTCCACTGATCTCTGGATCATTTCAAATACCAAAACCGGTTGTACAATCAACTATGTGTCTCTCATGTTTCAACACACGATTAAGTTTCAGGAGGTAAGCAAGCTGGCAAGGATACAATTGGGATAAGAAACAGCCGAAAACTCTATCAGCAAGAAAGCAGTCTTGGGGGTGTGGCTATGCTTGGGAAATAAGTGATTGTGGGTGTGGTTGAGCACAACACTAGAGCAAAATCACTTCGGCGGCAGCCTACAGAACCACCAAGCAAGTTTAAGTTTGAAGATGTCACTACTTCCTCTTTGGATTTTTGCTCTGAAAGCCTTGAGTTCTGCAATTTTGAAACACTGGGACAACGTGCAGGGTCTAGAGGAACCATTAACGGGCCTTTAATTCCTGCACTCAGTGCTGACTATCTATTTGCTCATGGAACTATTAATGGGAAAGATTTGTTTTATATTTGTTTTCCTTTAATCTCTGTATTCAATATTGACTATTTGCTCAAAACTAGATGTTATTGGCTGGCTACTTGCAATGGAGACACCACTAAGCAAACGTTAACACTATTAAACGAAAGGTAATCTAATTTAGTTAGTTATTTGAACCTTTACAAACGTCACTGCTCTTTATCGCCTCTGGCAATAACTAATGCGCCAAAGGTGTACACCCACTGCCAAGTCCATGGATTAAAACATGCAAGCCATCCATATACCACATGCCTCTTTTCCTCCATGGTACATGATTCTCCATACATTAATTTTGAATCTTCTAGCTTACCAGTGGGTGGTATATGATCAGCATATCTAGCCTTGGTGGCCTTGCATGGGGTCTCATGCTCTTATGCTTTAGCCACATCACTTGACATGTTAAGACGACCATGGGTTTTCCTCTGCCTTGGTTTCCTCATGGTTGAGACATGCTTACTCTCCTCATGTTCTTGGAGACGACATCCAGTCTTGACAAGTTGGCGACCACCCATGTGGCCCACTTGACTTTGTCTTTCAACCTCCAAACCTTGTTGGATCCTACCCTTAGCACACGACCATCCTTGGTTCTTTGTGAGGCCATGTCTGGTTTGTGCGTATGATACCTTCTTATGCATGCCCCTATGTCCATCATTCATGATTGATGGCATGTACTTACTACTCATGGACATGGACTTGCCCCCCTGTCCACACTTACCCAAACTTGCGTATTATCACAAGCATGTGTAGGTTGAAATTCTTTTAGATTCTTGGACATGCCCCCTACTCCATTATTCATGGTGGGTGACATGCCTCCTTGCCCATATTTAGCTAAATTTTCAACACTACGAGAACTCTTTTTGGCTTTCCCACGTCTTTTCTTGTTGGACTTGACCTCATATCCACTGTTTGCGATTGGTTGCATATCCTCTTGTCCAGACTTAACCATAGTTTTACACTTATAAAGATCATGGTTGGCATGGAGCTGTTGTGTCTTCCAAGACATGCCCCCTACTTCATACTTCATGATGGGTGACACTGGCATGCCCCCATGTCCAGACTTAGCCAAACTAGCATGCTTATCACAAACATGTGTGGCTTGGACTTCATATGACTTTTCGGACATGCGTTGTCCATAATTAGCCAAATTTTCAAATATGCAATAAATTTTTATGGCTTTCTTGCGTCGGGACTTGTTAGATATGCCCCAATTTCTAGTACAAGTGGTTGGATGCATGCCCCCATTTCCAAACTTAGCCAAATTAGCATGCTCAGCACAAGCATGTGTTTCTTGTGATTGATGTGGTCTCTTAGACATCACATGCTCCCTAGATGGACTTTTAGGCTTCACATTGTGGGAAGTTAGACTTTCCTGGCCCCCTTGCTGAGCTCTTGGTGTTTTGAGTCCATCAGAATTGCTTCTTTGTCTACTCAATAGGGATGGCTTCAGGGTGGGCAAGCATGTGGTGGTACTTGTTCCACATTGAATGGATCTTCACCATCTCGTCCATTGACAGGTGTCTCATCTGATCTTGTCTCGAGAACAAGCGGTTGAACATCACCTTGTACATGCAAGACTCCATGATTGGTGTTCAAAGTGGAGGTGGACCTCTCACCACAACTATCACATTGATGGAGTGGTTTGCTTGTCACTCGAGGCGACAAGCTCTTCTGCCATAGTTGGCCATTCCGACCACCGGCGGGAGAAAGAACACTATTAGTAGGCGTTAGGCCTGTGCCATCTAATGGCAAAGCTCTTGACTGCACTACTGATCTACTTAAAGACTGTCGGAGTTGATCCACCTCATTTGTATTTTTTTTGGCTACTTCAAGCAATTGACTGAAACGTCTATCTAGGCGAGAATTGAGACAGTCCATCTTAGAATTTACCTAATGAGTATTTGCCCGAGTCTCTTCCAACATGCCGCGGTCCTCCGTCATCATTTTGTGAAGTAACTTGATGTTGGTGGTTATATCAACACTTGGTGCCGCCGGTGACGAAGTCTCCACCACGCCATTGTTTCCGGCAACATCCTTCATCTCTTGGCCAAATTCAAACTTAGCCACGTGCTTCTTCACAAGCCCAGGTAAGAGACCACCTTCTTGTTGTCTCTGTCTTGGAGCCATCAAATCAAACACAAGGTCCCACCAGGTGTGCCAAATTTTTTTTCCGGCGAGAAAACTCTTGTTGAATTGAGATGGATTGCACCTTTGACTTCTATGGACAACGATTTTTAAGACACGGCTCACACCTCTTCAAACAAAGTTCAAACGAGGGTGTTTGATTGATGGTTTTTGGGAACAAGATCTAAATTAAATTACTTCTACTCCTATGGAGGCTCAACGAGAGCTCCAAACTACGAACTACATCTATGGCTACATGATAGAGAAAGGGTAAAGGATAAACTTGACATGTGTGTCAGAGTGTTGGTTTTGGAACCCCTGCCTCTGTCGACCCCTCCTCTTATTTATAGCCTCGAGGAGGTAACCTCCATAGAAAACCGCTTGTTGGATAACTGCTACAAAGAACCGCTCCTCCTTCTTCGGTAGAAAACCGCCTCTTGGATAACTCCCAAAAAGAACCGCTCCCTGCTTCCTCGGAAAGGTGGTTATTCCTTCAACCGCCTAGGTGCCTCTCTTGGAACCGTCGTGGGTTTGGAGTGTAGCTTGCCTCGCCTGGTCTTGTTCTGAATCTCGTGCCATGCTAGTCTTTTGACGAGCATGTAGTGTCTCACAAAGGGGGTCACGGTTCTCTTGTCTCATGGCCATGGACTTCTTACCCATGTCCATGGCTCACTTGGGACTTAGTCATTATTGATATAGTGCTCCACCACCACGCCCTTCTCATTCGTGTCCATGGCCACTCTTGTGACGCGACCATGGACCTATTAATCATGCACATGACCCTTCTCGTGAGGCGGCATGACCTTCTCAGACTTAGCATATTTTGGATCATGAGGCGACATGGCCTCCTCATTCGCGGCCATGGACTTCTCAGTCATGTCTGTGGCCCTTCTCGTGACACAGCATGGCCCTCTCATTCTTAGTATCTTTTCTTGCGTCCATGCCTCTTTTCGTGAAGTGGCATGGACGTCTCATCTTGTCTCGCGTCCATGCCCCTTCTCATGAAGCGGCATGTGCTTCTCCTTGAAGTGGCATGTACCTCTTCCAGATTTAGTTTATTTTTCAGTCATTAGGCCTTGGTCATGGTGCAGCATGGCCTCTTCGTGAAGTTGCATGTCCTTCTCGAGACTTAGAATATTTTTGACCGTATCGAGGTCTTCCTTGAGATGGCATGTGCTTCTAAATTCTAGACGGACATGTTTTTGTGTCGTTTGGTCTTGGTTATGAGGCGGCATGGCCTCTTCATTCATGGCCATGGACTTCTCATACTTAGAAATTTTAATGCCATCTCGTGGCATGGCATGGCCTCGTACGAGAGGCCCATGTCCCTTATTGAATCATGTCCATGCTCATTAATGAGCTAGTGACTTGGGTTTAAAATCAATATCTATAAGGCCCAATTTAAACAACATTAATTGTTATAATGAGTGTGGCCTTATAAACTCCTTGACTATCTTGTAACTCACCAATGTGGTACGAGACAAAATTTATGGTGTAAACAGAATCACATCATTGTGAACTTTAGTAAAAAAAGAACAAGAAGAATGAGATCATCTACATAATCAGAGGTGTACAACTTTACGCTAGCAGTGATTATTTGAGTGGAACAGATGCAACCAAGAACGAGGACATGAGACAACTTTCTAACGTTTTTAATGAGTTAGTTGTTGGTCTAAGAGATACACAATGTGATCTAAGCTGGTTGATCGATCTTGCATCATTATCCGACTTGAGCAAGCTTAAGATGCAACCATACACACCACTCAGAAATCTGAATGACAGATAAGTTCTTGCCCTTCATTGGTTCTATACCAACATGTTAAACTATTACAACTTAATAAATTTTGTTTTGTTTACTAGGTTGAGGTGGGAATTAATTTTCCACCATCCGTGCCTCTGGGAGCCTCAGAAGACGGCTCAGGTCATCATGAACCTGTACTACTGCTACATCAACTTGGATTCAAATATACCAGATGACAAAACGATCAAGAAGTGCTTCAATGTTCATATTCGAAACCTATATGAAGAGAGTGTCTTTGAAAGGGCGAATAATATGCGATGGGATCAAACTGTGAAGGATATGTACCTGAACGCAAGAGAACCGCAGTTTTGTGAAAGTAGAATCACTGTCCAGATGTTGGGCTGCATGCGCAATATCTTTGAACACACTAAATATGTAAGTAGTTCAATTCATTCAATTAGTAATCATTTGTTTTTAGTCGAAAGGTTAAGTTGTGGTGATTTCTTTACTACCTTTTGGCTTCAGGTTGGTTGTGTTTGTTGTTGTGTTGAGGTGCATTTATTGGATCCTTGTGTTTTATGTGTTCTAAATGTTGGCCTACTGTTTGCAGGAAGATCGCAAGGTGGTGATGGAGCAGGAAGACCCTTTGGAATTCATTATCAATGAATTTAAAGAGTTAGGTGCATCTTTGATGCTACGCACATTGCTTGAAGGAACTTTGGAGTTTGATCGAGTTCGATGTATGTATAATTAAATCGTTTTATGTTTGTTTTTGTCTTTTTTGCGAATAGGACTTTTCTTCGGATGCAACCACTGATATTTTGTTTAGTTTTCCATTTATCCTTATCTAATGTTTCTTTTACTCTTTTTGGTTGTTCAGGTATTTGGATCCCACAATAGGTGCTCAGGTGGAGAGATCGATGAGATTGAACTTAGTTAAACATGCATTTGAATATCTTTATGGGCTAATACCACTACAACATCCGAACTATCCCGAAAATGCCACTTGTATCCTAATGTTTTCAATATTCCATCTGTGTCCTGAACTATTATTCCGTTAGTGTTGACTAGCTTTGACCTTTAGTATTTAACAGAAAGTT